GAATGTGGAGTATAGTGTGGGAGTGGAGTCAAGGGAATTGTAATAGATCTGTATGATATGGGGGGGGTGGGGCAGTGGATTGGGGGAAGGGGGTTGTCACTTTGAGGGGTAAAAAGTATAACTATTGCACTGTGCTGTACAGCTGAAACTGATTTTTTAAATGTTTATTTCACAATAAAAAAGATAATTATTCCCATTTTACAGGCAACAACCATCAAAGTTCTTTACAGAACCTTTCTATGTAAATAGGCTATTTTGCTAGGAAATATACTATTAGATCCTTATTAGACTTTCGTTTACTACTCCTGGGGAAAAGTATTCTAGACTTCCCAGGATAAGTCAAAAGTCACTTATACTAAATAATAAATGCTACCAGGAGCCCAGCATCCAAGTTAACACAATGAAGAGACACATAATCCTTAGCTATAAGGTTTAATTATTCTTAAAGCTGGCCTGCGTATCACATTGGGCATTCCGTATTTGTAAAGCTCAGCAGCTGCTCTTCTGGCTTTTTCCATCATATGCACAAGGGCTCTGAAGTCCTGCCACAAGGTACACACACTGTCGTCTCCATGCTCTTGTCACATGTACGTGCAAAGAATTCGAGTTCTCCCAGGGAAGAATCACTTATGGGATCAAGGCCTTAGGGAAAGGGTGAAAAATAGATCAATGGAATTTCCCTTTCCTCAGAAGCTTTCACAGTAGCAAAACTTGGCTGTGAGAACGATGATCTAGAAGGTAATGTGGGGATAGCAGAGAAGAATTGGGGGAGGCAAGAGGCCAGAAGCCCTGACAAGCAGTGCGGAAAGTACAGGGGTTGCCATCCTCTGGCTGTATATTCCTGCGACACGTAAGTGGGAGCAATGGCAGGCTAGAGGATTATGGGTCCAGGAAAAGAGCACGGCCTACATCAAGTAGAAAAACTTGCTCTCCACCTGCAGGTCCAATACAGTAGCCACTAGCCACAGGTAGCTATTCAAATTTAAATTAATTCAAATTAAATACAATTGACAATTCAGTTCCCCTGTCAAAATTTCAAGTGCTCAATAGCCACATGTGGGTTAGAAAGCAAGATACGCTTCCATAACTGCAGGCAAGTTCTGTTCAACAGCATTGCTTCAGAATCTAGATCCTATGAGAAATCAACACTTAAAACTCTTGGAGTTGAATTATTACTGGGAAAGTACATACTGCATAGTGGTTAAGAGCACAGACTCTGTACGTAAACCTACTAGATTCTAATCTTGGGTCCAAGCTTTGCTAGTTTCATGACTTTAGGCAAGTTACTCATCACTCTTGGCCTTAGTTCCCTCATCTGTAAAATGGGGACGATTATAATGTAACTTTTATAAAGTTGGTGTGAGGCTTCATTGCGTTAATGTAAAGCACTCATAACGTCTCCAGCACATAAGAGCTATTTAAGCATTAGCACTCAGCGTTTTTACTGTCACACTACAACATCCTTCTATAATTGAGTACCTATTACTGGGGAATAGATGCAAACGGTTCCTGGGTCTGATCCTTTCTGCATTCCCAGTCTTTTTGGGGACAGGTTAAAACCCCCTCTGGTCAGCATGAGTGTGTGTGAGACGGGGTGATCTCTGCTCCTTACTTGTACAACAGAACATCAGCCGCCTGTAGCACTGGGTACGTCAGCAGGCCCACTGTCCCATCGTGCTTCTGCTTGGCAGTCTTTGCCTGCGGGGGTGAAAAGAGAAGAGGGAAAGAAATCTGACGTGAACCTAATTATAACCGCTAAATTAAGAAATCCTTAAAGCAAGCAAAGGGTGATCTGAAGCCACCTGTCATAACATTACATCTCAGTTTCTTTTAGCAATTCTAGCCATTTTCTAGCTGGCGGTGTCTTCACGCTCCAGGCTTAGGCTGAGTCCAGTTCACGGCTGCCCCTCTAAAGGATCCGGCACTGCCCCTATTTTTATTCATTTTATCAAAGTAAGGGCATGAGCGTTTTCAAGGTTCCAAATAAGATACAGTCTAGATGTCACTGGTAAGGTTGGAAAATGTCACAAAATTAAATTTCTATAAATCACTGTAAGTGAACAATCAAACTGCCTATTGTTTATCTGGGGAAACTTCCCCAAAAGTCTCACACCATGTTGTTGAACAAATTGGAATGTTCCCTCAAAATCACATTAAAAAAAACCCCAAAATCGTGGCATTTAAAAAATGAAACAGAGAGAAATTTTAATCTGCCAATCTTGATTATCTGTATTGATCTTTAGGTGCTAAATCAGTGAGAGTCAAGTGGATTCATACACAGGACAGGTTGTATAGACCAAAATATTACCTTAATGGGGAAGCTGATGGAAACACTGGAGGTGACATTAGAAATATTTAATGTCACCTATTGTGACACCTATACACTACTAGTGTGTACACGCTGAATTACGCACCCCAGTGGTACCCAATACCCTGCTGTGGTTAAACAGTGCTGACGGGTCATTTGTTCTCTGAGCAGAGCTACTTATTAGCAGGGAATACTGTGTACAGTTCACTGATTTTTGCTTCTAAGGCCTAGGGATCTCACTTCTTGTAAAATGATAAAAGGACATTTTGTTGCATAGATAAATCTCATGTGTTTATTTAATATGCATCACTTCCCAGAGGCCCGTATATTTCTGAATGAACTGAACAACTGAATTGATGAACTTGTGTGATCCCCAGGACCAAGCTCATGCGTTTACATCAGGAGTCTCCCACCCACATGGAGACACACCCTTTGAGTGTTGGTCTGAAAAGCAACACCTTCTCTCTTTAATCATCTTCATGTCGTGGTTTCATAATTGAGTCGCAGACTTCACTTTTCTGGTTACTTCCAGTAGTTTCTGGGTTTTGGCAGCTAATGCTATAGGCCATGCAAAGGAAATGTGAAAGTTCGAATATACAGTTCCTTCAGTACATTTCCTTATTATAATACAATGTCCACGGGAAAGGCCAGTTCACAATGATCACTGGGTAAAGATAGTGAAAGTTTAACTTGGAAATGAGCAAACGGGAAAAGAACCCAATTTTTAAAACATTGCCACTGCATTAGATTTATAGCATTTTTTATTTATTTTTATCAGAATACTGAATCTTGAAATTACCAAGAAAAGGGAAAGATGTAGAGAGCACTCGTATTTATTGAGGGCCTACTGTGCATCGCAGATGCTCTCCATCTGTGTTATCTCATTACCTCCAAATAACTCTGACCTCAGAGCCCTGACCCCACCTTTCCACCCCACTGTCCTGCCTCTCATTGCCCCAATCAAAACCAAGGTGCTCTTGGATCTTTCCATAGCATGGGAACCCCCCACCCCCACCCTTCTTTCACTTCCGCCCTTTCTGATTGCTTGTTTGATGATCTCTTCCCAAATAGACTTGCGAGCCTCGTGAAGGGGCTGCATCCATCTGCCTTGGTGACTGCTGTACTTCCAGCACCTCATGTGATGTGTGACTTCCAGAAGGCATCACCAGTATTGGTTAATGAGGAAATGACCACAGCAGGCAATAACGTGCTCTAGGATAAGGTAGGCATTGGGCATCCCTGTTTCTCCCACAAATAAGAAATTACGGGCTACTGGGGAGGCATTTGTAGACTATCAGTGCGTTCACTCGTAATGGGTTACCAGGTGGTCCTTAGACACTATTTTAAAGTAGGAACATTTCCCATGAAATTAGTATTCAGCTCTTATAAAAAGGATTTCAGTAGTCAGCTGAGTGTTAGAGGACTGTGCTAAAATAGGGAGGTTTTGCCTAACACCAAAATATGGTGGAGAATATTACAAAATAGTGTCTGTCATTCCCGGCAGGAAATGGTTTTGCAGCATCATCAATAGCTCTCATGTAGGCTCTTGTCTGTCTCTGTAGCCTATGCAAACGCTTCTGAACCAGCTTTTGAGAAAACCAGTGGCCCTGAAAGTATGCTATAAAGAAGCTTCAAATTGAAATTAGCGTTGACGTAGTTAGGGGCTACCTACTTTTGGGTTATCCAATTGCAAAAATAAATGGAAGCAAAGCACTATGAATTATCCAATTTACCTTACTCAGTTGAACGTCTAAGAAAAAGCACAGCCTTAATTTTTCTGCGGGTTTGAACTGTTGCCTGGACTCAACTTCTTTATAAATAAATAAATCATGTTGTCTTTTCTCCCCACAATGAAAACATTCTTGCCTGATTGCCAGTTAATTCCAGCAATGGCGATGGGACAACTTCAGAGTCCAGTAATCCTGAAATTCTGATTATTTGTTAAGCATAATGTGGTAGCTTCAAAGTCATTACCAAGTCTATCCAATGTCACTCTATGATTCAACCATACCCAGATAAAATCAAATAACAAGTTGATATTTTTGTCCAGTTTTTAAGTTGGAAGGAATCTTAGAAAACCCTTTCATTTTTCGTTTAATACCCTGAGGCAGAGAGTTTAAAGATAGCTCTTCTAGTGAGTGAGTGAGCAGCAGACCAGGAAGGCCAATAAACTCGGGATTCCCAGAGCCGACCACAAAAATAAACAGAGAGGGGAAAAGTAGCTGTAATGAGGACCTTGAACTTTGTTCTGATTATTCATGAGATCCTTGGCATTTACCTTCCACTGGTGTAAGTGTTGTAATCGAGGTAGCCTGACCATGCAGGTAAGGATCCAACTTAACTGGGTGTGTTCAGACACCTAAAGACATAAAACAGAACATTAACGAAGGTGGTCAGTGTTTTCTTGCATATTTGACAAAAACTAAATAGATAACAGGTATTACCTTACATGGCTGAAAATATCCCAAATCAAGGTAATTTTAAAAAGGACAGGTGAAGGGGACTGATTCACAGCGCCTAGACGTTTAGGTTGAAGAAGAAATCTTCAAAACTACCCAATATGATTACTAGTCTAGTGTTTAAGTCCTCTTTACAACACCCCCAGCAAACCGCTGACCAGACTGTTACAAAATATTTAGTGAGAGGGTTTCACTATGTCCTGAGACACCTATTCCATCTTTAAAAAGCCAAGGTTATTAACACACACACACACACACACACACACACGATTAAAATCCAGTCTAAATAACTTCTAAACCTACGAAAGCAGCTATTATACGTTACATGTAAATAGCCGAGAAAGGCACTGAACTTAAAGATTGAATCCTTTAGACCTAGAATAATTTGAAATTCAGGAATCACTTTATCATCTCAAAGGGTGTTTTTGTAGTTTCTAGTTGTCCCTTGTTCTTTCTTCTCTTTTCTTCCCCCACCCTTCCTTTTTCTTTTCTTTTTTTTTTTTTAAAAGAAGACATCTAGTCAACAAGAACGTATAACCTTTTCCCAATTTGTTTTCTTCTTAACCAAATTTAATCAAGTCACCAAACCTGGCAACAATTGGGATGATTCTTGGGCCTAGGCCAGTTCCTAACTGATGACCTGGAATTTAAGGAACTAAGCATCTTGTTTCTGGACCCTGGGGAGTCCGAGCGCTTCATCCATTGTGGCTTTATTTGTGTCCATATGATTTCCTTAAAAAGCAGAGACTGTTGCCAACTCTGAAAAGTGGCCCCAAATGTGTTCTTTGTGGGTTTTACAAAACGAACATAAAGGAATGGAGCTGAACCAGCCCAGGCCTAGTTTATGAGCAAGGAATCGCCATCTGGCCTAAGATAGTTTCTCATTTTTTTCCCCTCAAGTCATGGAGGGGGAAGAGTTGTTTTTCACGTGTTTGACAAGGAATCACTTCAAATTTTGCAAGCCGCTGGGCTGCATCTGTCATCTTTCTTCCCCGAGGCATTTGGGTTTCATTGAGGGCAGTGGCTTTGACAGCACTATCCATGCAAATTGCTAACTGCTGCTGTAAACAAACAGCTATCAGACTCAAATAGTAACCCTGCATGCATGGAAGTAAGAGGGTTAGTGCTTCTAATCAGCAAGTGAAACACATTCCTATTAGAACTCATCAAACAAGAGCTGCGTTTTGGCATGAAGAAGTGGGAGGGGATTTTTTTGCATCTTCTTTCCTGGGCTGGGGAAAGGAATGACAACACAGAGAATAACCACGGTCATGTGGAGAGAAACAAGATGACTCCTTCCCTCAGGCTCGGGCTCACGTGCTCAGCTTGGGGGACATGCAAAAAGCTAGCATCAGGTCTCCATGAAGTTAAGTACTTTCCTTGGAGTAGTTTTTCATTTGGACATATGGAATGAGACTGAGTTAATATTCTGCAGAGGTCTTCCTGGTGTTTCCAAACAAGGGGGCATAAAATTAATCCAAATTCTTCTTCAATGGAAAAAAAAGTAGGTCAAAGGTCACAGGCAATTCATTTTCACCACTTATCGTTACTAATTATATAAGAAGGGTCCTATACGTCAGGACTTGGTTCTCTTAATGTACTCATTCTTGACAACTGCTGGGAAGGGTTCAGGTTTCTATCTGGAGAAAAGTGAAACTAGTATTTACATACAGTATATTCTGAATTACTATTGTGCAATCATAAACAGAATAACAATGTGATCTGTTTTAGCCACAGAAAAACAAAAGCATGAAACAATAAGAGGGCCTGTTGCACATCCACAAACGAGTCAGCAGTGACTAAAGAATTCTGATGCACTGAAATGTAACAGTAACGACATGTATATTTGTCAGTTACAACAGCTTTGCCTATCTTGTTCATTGCTGAAAACAAGAGTCTGGCATGCTGTAGGTGCTCAATACATGCTCGTATTTGTTGAATGTATGAACAATATCAAAGGCTGAAAACAGGATGGTTAGGACCAAAAAGAATCCATCAGATGTAGCAACGGATGTGTTGGTAACCCAGGCAAAAGCAGCTTCTGGTGGAGTGACTGGGATGGAAGCTAAATTATAGGGGGGTGAGTTGAAGTGTGACTAGGAGGCAGGAGATGAAGACAGATGTACAAGAAGAATAGCAGAGTAGTTATGAGCTCTACCTTTGGAGTGAAGCTGCCTGGATTTGAATGCTAGTGCTGTCACTTATTAGCTGGACAGTGCTGTATAAGTGACTTAAACTCTCTGTGCCTCAGTTTCATTTCTAAAATGAGGTTAATAATAGTATCCACCCGACAGTGCTTAGAACAGTATCTAGCACATGGTATGCAGTCAATAAAAGGTAGTTATTATTATGGATAATTTTTAGGGAGACTTTTATTTTAACTTTTTATTTTGAGATAATTATAGATAATTAAGAAATAACATAGAGAGATAAAGTATACCCTTCACCCAGTTTTCCCCAACAGCAACATCTTGCATAATTATCGTACACTATCACAACCAAGAAAATGAATTTGACACAATCCATCTACCCTATTTAGATTTTATCAGTTTTCCATGCACTCGTTGTGTGGATATATTTCATTCTATGCAATTTTATCACGTGTGTAAGACATTATTTTTTTTTTAAGGGAGACTAGTGATGTCAATAATTAACAGGGGTTAGAGAACAAAAATTTTGTTTTACTTTGTAAGGTGGGATAGGCCTGTTCTCTGAAACATCTTTCACTGAAACAGGAGGAGGGGAAACAAATATAGATGAGGTTATATCTGTGGGATAGGCGTGCAGAGCAGAAAGCCAGAGGACTTCACATCTAATGGGCTCTATTATCTCTGAAAATAGAAGACAGGGTGATTAGAAACAAATGGGGTAAGAAATATACTCAACGGAATTGCTGGGTTTGATAGGAAAGAACAAAAGATCTTCTGAACTAGAGTTATATGAGGCTTGATGGTTTGTGGATGTTTTTGTGAATTAAAGAGGGCAATCATTTGTAACATACATTTTTGGAGAAACACTGGTATTCTTCAAGGTAGGCTAAAATCTTCAGCCTAACTAATAGGTCTTTTAAAATTTTTTCAGAGAAAAACTAAATCAATTGATTGCATCTTTAATTTTCTTCAGAAAGGATTTTTAACAGAGTCCAAAAAGTACTACATATAAAGTAAAAAAAAAATCTGGGTAAATTAAACCATATTAAAATTGATAACTTCTCTTTGTCAAACACCACCATTTAAAGAGGGAAAAGGCAAGTCACAGAGTGGGAGGAGATTTTTGCAAACCTACATAGAATATATTTGTATACAGACTATGCTAAGAACTCCTACAAGTTGATAAGAAAATAGCAGATCACCCTATGAGAATCGGCCAAATGCATTAAATGCAAATTAAAGTCATAACATGTGATACCACTACGCATGCATCAGAATGACTGAAGTGAAACCCCCCCCCCCCCCGAATAATACCAAGTATGGCAAGGATACTGAATAAATAAAACTCTTATACACTGCTAGGGAACGTAAACCGACTATTTCCACTGACACTCAACATTCATGTAACACATAACTGAGGCAGTCCATTTCTAGGTATCTGTCTAACAGGAATGTGTATACTCGTAATTGTTCACAAAATATATGTGCAAGAATATAATGCAACAGCCCCAAACTGTAAGCAATCCAAATGTCCACCTACACAGAATGGATAAATTGTAATATATTCATACAATGGACTGAGGATAAATGAACAAATCCATTCAACACCATGAGTCAATCTCATAAACACACTGTTGAGTGAAAGAAGTCATGCACAAAAGTGTACTAAATAATTCAAGTTACATTCAGTTTAAAAATGTTATCTTGGGGGAGGGGTGGTTAGTGACTGGAAAGGGCGTGAGGCGCATTCAGGGACGAGTTACATGGGTGTGTTCAGTTTGCGAAAATAGGTAAATGGCCAGTACATCGAACTACGCTGGGCCCTGAATACAACAAAATGAAAAGCTTTTTGGTGTTTAAAACAAGCAGGAGGGACTTCTGGGAAAGCAGAATAACCACAACCTCTGAAAACTCTGCTGCTTCATAAAAGCAACGAGAACACCAGTAAAAATTGTCAAAGCCAACTTTTACAGAACTCTGGGAAATGAACCAAAAGCTGGCAATAGAATATTTAAGAAAAACATCTGAATCTCAGCAAAAACAGAGTGCTCTGTGGCATTCTGACTCACCTGTTCCCATCAGCCTGTGGTAGCCATGGTAACCAGCAGCCTAGTGGCCTGTGGACAGGGGAGACTGGGTTTGAGGCATCTCAGAAAGGCCCATCCCCAGAGAACTGTCACTATCTCGATCTGTCTGATAGCTCCCTGGAAGATATGTCCATAGGGTGCGTTGAAAAGACCTGACATACTCCCAGGCATCTAGGAGGCCACATGCAGGGCTATGGACATGTCCAGGAAGTGCCTGAGAAGACCCTCATCTCTCACCTCTGGCTCACCTGAGGCCCTGTGTCTGCCCCTCGGCCAGGCGTTGAAAGCACAGGATAGAGGCATTTGGAAATTTCTGTGCCATCAGTACCCAAACCCTAAGCGAACTCAGCAGAGACTGCAGTGGCCAGATAGGACAATGTACCCTGACTCTACAGAACTGCTGCAGAAGTCACTAAACAAACACACAGCATCCACAAACATGAGCCGTAGGTGTCGGGGGATTTCATCAGGGAATTCTAACAAACATTTAAAAAAATCAAATTTTTATTTTATTCTATTTTATTGGGGAACAGCCATGGTCATTGGTGACACATTGCTTTCATGCTACAATGGCATAGTTGACTCTTTTAAGGAGGGCACAGCTCAGAGTGGCCCATGTGGGGACTGAACCGGCAACCTTGGTGTTACCAGCACCATGGTCTA